TACCTAGCACTTTTGAGCTGATAACAGAGAATGCTTTACACAGGGCTTGCAAACATTTAGTACTTTGTAAGTGTCAACCAATTGTTATTGTTGCTGTTACATTAGCCTAATAATTATGCTGAAATACAATTCTTTCTGTCAGAGGTTTATAACATATATATTCACATGCATATACATAATTTCATAGGAAAACAGCACTACAAATGAGATTTCTCCCCTTAATATCTTCCTGCTTGCCTTTCTCCCCAAGATACACATCCCTGTATCCTTTTCCCTAACTCCTGTAATGTCATACATACGACCAACATGTATGTGTTATGATTATCATTTACTTTCCCAAAGCAGAATTGTGTTATATATACTTCTCAGCATCCTACCTTTTGCAACACACTGTCGTGAAAATTCCCAAAGTCACTGAGTAGGTTACTCAGTTTCAGCGACTACAGAATTTAAAATGTGCCCCCCACACCTCCTGACATTTCTCTCTAGTGTGAGACTAGGAGCAAAAAAAATCTTTAAAAAAAAAAAAAAAGAGCAGTGACAACACAAAACCACAGTTTCTTGTTTTGGCAAGCAGAGCTCCAATAAGAGAAGCTCTGGTCTCCTAACCCCCCAAAAAAGCAGAACCAGAAAGCATTCTGGGAGCTTTTTGCTGACACCCCGGATCCTTAGGGACCCTGGTGCAGCCGATCGAGCAGACCCTCTGGGGGTCTACTGACCCTTTGGGGGCCTACTGACCAACACTTACCCAGGGGTCTCTCTACCATCCACCCAGGCTCCCTGCCTTCCCACCACAGCCCGGCTGGCACACCCATCATAAGATGCACTGGCACCTGCCCAGGAGGTCCCCACTTGTAAGAAGGGACTCCAAACCAATCCAACCAAAAGGCAGGTAGGCCCAAGGTTCAAGAGCCTCCTCTTTAAGTGCAGGGGTGGGGGGAGATTGTGAACCCCAAACAGACAACCTCCTCTAACCCCCACTGTAGTACATCCCCGAAAAAGCCACCATAGCACACTGAGCACCAACTATGAGTCGGGCACAGCGCTAATGGCTTCAAGGTCAGGCTCATTCAAGCCTGGAAACACCCTTAGGACACAGATGCTATACTGGTCCCATTGTACAGATGGGGAAACTGAGGCATCGAGCAGGCTAGTGACCTGCCCATGGCCACATGTGGTCAATGTAGGGGAAAGCCAAGATGTGAACACTAGCATCCTGGCTCCAGAGCCCCACACTCAACCCTCACGTCATGGATAGACATTGAGCACAGAGGATGAAGCTGGCAGCCTGCCACTTCCATTCTTCTAGCATTCTATCCATTCTGCTGAAGACAGAACAGGAGCCACCGAGGCAACATAACCGTAGGAAGCGTAGGCAGAGGGTCAGGGTCGCATAGACCTCAGTTCAAATCCCAGTTCTGCCACCTTAAGAAATCATGGGCCAAGACCTTTATAAGCCAGAGACAGTCTGTGAGGTGGCTAGGGAAATGAGCTGTGACCAGATCCTGCCACTGCTGTCTACATGGCCCAGGGCAGCCCACTTCAACTATCAAGCCACAACTTCCTCATGTGTCAGTGGGGTAATGACAACACTCCCTTCATAGGCGCAGTGGAAAGATCAAATAAATTGATACCTGTGAAGTGCCCCAAACCGTAAATAATGCATCGTGTCAGTTCCTACACGGTGATGACTATAATCATTATTATCATTGATAACACTGTCCAAGAACACACAGGGAGCACCCAACAAAGCCAGAGCTTCTCAACGTTGAAATCCAAGGTTCTGAGTCAAAACCCAGGGCATTTTCTCCCACAATCTCTGGGGTATCCCCCAAGAAAGATCTAGCGTCTCTACAAGAGGGCTGTCCTTGCCTTCCCGTGCCTCTTAAATAAACATACACAAAACATGGCACCAAAGTCATCAGTCCCCCTTGGAGGTGGGGAGGGGTGTAAACCAGTTCCTGAAGGCGGTGGGGAAAGATGGGGAGATTCTGGAGTAACCACAGAGTCCCCAGAACCGGAACAAAAAAAAAAAAAAAAAATCAAAACAAAACGAGAAAAAAAAAAAAAAAACTGGTTCCGGAGTTTAGATAAGTCAAAAGGAAATTCACTCAAAGTCCCTGTCCTCCTTCCAGCGCTGACTCACACCTCACTTCCTCCAGGCAGCCCTCCCTGACTACTCCTACTCACCGGAAGCTGGAATCCTATAACCCTAATGATCGGTATTATTTCATCATCATATAAAAGAATAATTAATGATGATAACACATATTTTTATGCCATATTACCTGCCAGGCACTGTTCTAAATGCTTTATATATATTTATACAACTGACTTATCCTCTTAAAAAACCCTGAAAGATAAGATCTATTATCATCTCCTATTTTACAGATGATGAAAGTGAGGCTCAGAAAGGTTAAGCCACTTGCCTAAGGTCATACAGCCCAAGGACTCAAAGCCAAGCAGTCTAGCTCCAGAGCCCAGCCTTGTATATGTGCAATTTCTATAAACACCCACTTTGCCACCAACTAGATTGTCCCCTCCATGAGGACAGGAACCCAGAGCTGGCCTTTCTGCATCTCCCACATTTCTAGGTCATTTCTATTGACACCAGGACCTTAAAACTAGGGACACAGGAAGAGCAGGGCAGCCCTTCAAGACCCACCTCTGCCCCATGGAATTAGAAGCGTGGAGGGATTACCAAGCATTCTTCCCTTACCAAGTAAGTATAAAGGCTCAGAGGAGAGAGTGGGAAGACAGAAGAGAACAACGTGCAGGCTGCCAGCCTCACTGTGTGGAAAACCTTGGTAATTAGCAGTTCCTGAAGCTAAGCCCTGGGTTTTCAAAACTGAAAGGTCTTGGGTTGTTTAGGGGCCATTTCTGATGGAGCAAAACAAGAAAGGCCGCCTGTGGCTCACAGACAAGGTATGGGCTGGTCAAGTTACACAATCAGTCCATTGCTGGCACCAGCCTGGGGTCACCCAAAAGGGCAAGGCAGAAAAGCAGCCTGGATTCTCCTCCCCCAGGTTTACAGGTGGGGAAACTGAGGCCAGGGCAGGGAGCAGGACTGGTCCAAGAACCAGCTCATCTCAGAACTGACAGGTCAATCCTAACAAAAACTGATGAACTCAATCACATGGAAGTACGGAAATCTTTTTTTTTTTTTCCTTCCTGTTTCTTTAATAGTAAGAATGGTCGCTTCCAATCAATTTCCATTATTCCAGCAACCTCAGACTCTACAAGTGGACAATCTAAAACCACAGTTAACTCCAACACGATCTGCATCTGTTCTGAAACGTACCACACCATCCAGGCGAGGGCGCGGGAGGAAGAGGTATATTTTCTTACCCACTAATATAAAAATTGGTCTGTCTTTCCTCTCTCGCTTCCAGACTGAGGAGCAGGGAGTGGCTCAGAAGGAGAAGTAACGAGTTCCCGAGAATGTGACATTGCTCAGAGATATCAGAGCTGTCTACCTCTTTATATCAGAAACTGCCAGCTTCAAACTGAACAGATTCCTTTTTTTTTTTTTTTAAACGATGAGAGAGGGAGAGATGGGAAAGAAATGCCAACTCTGCCTTATTCTCACAGGCCTTTCTAGAAGGGTCCTTTAGCCAAATGGTTTTCAGTGCCACCGCACAACTCCCCAACCCCCCAACCCCCCACCACACACACACACCTCTTTTCACAGAGAGAAGGGCTCTCTCCTCCCTGAGTTAGAACTAGGACCTCACACAGCCTCTGCTGGACCTCCAAGCCAATGGGGACCCCAGAGGATGCCAGAAGCTCCCTCTGTGCCCCCAGAGACTGGGAGCTGCAAAGCCTGGCTCTGAGATCTCTAAGGAACAACCACCACCCCCAGCTCTTCCTGAACCAGGATTAAAAGACTTCCTAGAGCCGAGAAGGGAGTAAATGAGGTCCCAGCAGGAGGCACAGAGATTAAAGCCCTCAGAGTCTCCTAACTTCCAGTGAGGCTTGGCCCCAGGCCCACCCCCTCCGCCCCCTGGCCACTTTTCTCACTTCCTAGGAGAGTAGGGAAGTGGCCCCTTCCTCCCTCTTACAGGGGGAATTTTAAAAAAAAAGAAAGAAAGAAAAGAAAAGAAAAAGAAAAAAATAAGCTCCGCATTGGAGTTTGGAGCACCGGATGGGCCGGCCCTGGTCCAAACCCGGTACCTCCAATGAACCAGCTGTGGGATTCCAGGCAAGTTACTCAACCCCTCTGGTGCTAAACTTTCCCATCTAAAAAATGGGGTCAATATTCGTCCCTACTTCATGGGCCACTTGGAAGGCTAAACCTTCTAATGACATATGTAAGCGCCTGCCACATAGTAAGCGCTCGACTGTTATTTTAGAGTCCGACGCTGTGGTTTTACCACTCAGAGATGGGGGTGGGACCTGGACTGGCAAGTCGTGAGTTCGAAACCCGCTGTCCCCAAACTCCAGCAAAAGCGTGTGCACTGGAGAAAGGGGTCCTACTCTTTGTGGTTTTGTGGGATCTCCGTCCCTCTTCCGGGCTCTGGGTTGAGGGCGCTGGACTCTAGGATGTCTAGGCTACGTCCCGTTGAATAGTCGGTGGTGCACTAGGTGGCGAAGAAATCCCCGGGGCGGTGGGGGGAACGCAGGAGCGAAAGCTCCCGGCGCCTGGGTCCCAGAGCCCCTGCCTCGCGGATGTAACTAATTTTAAAACTATTTGAAAGGCGGGAGGGGAAAAGAAAAAGACAAAAGGGCAGCGTGCAGGGTGGAAACAGGAGTATGGGAGACCCCGAGTCCGGGCTTGGACGGATGGCCGGCAAAGGAGGCGACAGCCCAGCTCTGGAGGAGCCCGGATATCCCCATCTCTCTGTGTGCCCGCCAGGGCGCCCCTGAGGCGACTCTCGCGCCCCCCCAGGGACCGCGGCCACAGGTTGTGGGAACCGCCCCGCGCTGGAGGCCCCTGCGCTCCACAGCGGGGCGGGCAGCCGGGGCAGAGGCTGTCCCCGCGCGCCCCGGGCGACACTCACCGATTGCAAGAAGCGCAAGGTGCCCACGTAGTCCCTCTCGGTGCCCAAGATCTCGTTGAGGACGCAGAGGCGGAGGCGCAGCTGGCGCTCCGACTCCCGCGCGGCCGCGCACGGGCCGGAGCTGGGCGCAGCGGCGCCGGGGACCCGGGGGTCCGGGTGGGCACCGTCCCCAGCCCCGTCGCCGCTGGGATCGCTGCCGCCGGGTCCCTCCATTCTAACGCGGCCGCGCGGCGCCGGCTGCTTCCCCCGCGCGAAGGTCGCGCGGAACGGCGACTCAGGCGTCCAGGCGCCCCATCCCGGACGGGGCGCGCCGGCGGGCCGGGCTCAGCGGCGGGCCCGGCGCCTGGCGCGGCGGGCGGGCGGGACTGGGGGCGGGCGGCCCGGGCCGGGGGCGGAGGCAGCGCGCGGAGGCTGGACCAGGGGCGGGAGGGGGCCGGCCCTCGGGGCTCCCAGACGGCGGGCTCCGCCGCCGCCGCCGCCGCCCCCGCCGCTAAGGGAGCGTCTGCCAAGTGCCACACCGCTCTCTGGCCGCAGAGGCGCTCCGAGCGCGCACCGAGCCCCTTGGAGACGCGCGGCGGAGCTCAGAGGCTACGTCGGAAGCTCGGAGCGGCCAGGGCCGAGGCGGCCGGGGCGCTCGGGCGGGAACCCTCCAGGAGGGGAGCCGGCGGAGGCCGGGGATCCCGAGGCGGCGCACGCGCCGCCGCCCGCGCGCCAACTCCGTGCCCGAACGCGTGGCCCCCTCCCCCGCCGCGGGCTACGCCACTCCCACCCACTACACGCGACACTCTCCGCGCGCAGGCACACGCACGCAGGTTGGGCCGCCGCGGCCGCTTCTCGGGCCGAGCGAACACCGGGCTGGAAAGGCTCGCGGCGGAGCGGCTCGGGAGCCGGCCCGCCCCGGCCCGCGCAACCCCGCCGGCCCGCGAAGAAAAGGGGGCGGCCCCACCCCGGGCCAGCCAGCCTCTGGGGACACTGAACCCTTTGGGTGCCCTCGGGCGCTGCCACGACCTTGAGAAGGAAGACGCTCAGCTCTCTCTGTCCCTCCCTTTCTCGTGCCCTTTCCTTCCTTCCGTTTCTGTCCCTTTCTTTTCTGAACTTGCTTGCCCCCAGGAGACGACCCTGCGCCTTCCACCTTTCCCAGAAGAAATCATTATCTGCTCTCGAGTTACTAATCAGGTAGCAGCTGCTCTGCCCGCGCCTCCCCCCACCTCCGTCCACCCACCACCCGGGAGAAGGCCTTGGGAAACCCCGCTGCTACTCCAGGCTGCTCTGCGTGACCTTGATCATCAGCGGAACCGCTTAACAAATGTCCTTACCTGCCTCACAGGAAGGTAGGGAGAGGTGACCGAGCTCTGGGGCCTAGAGTAAGCTGCTCAGGTTTGAATCCCATCTCCTTCACGTGCTAGTGGGTGACCTTGAGCTGGTTTCCATTGCCTCAAGAGCCTTAGTGTTCTCAACAGTACAATGGGAATGATATTGCTACCTAGATCATAGGATCCTCCACAGGGTTGTGTTAGTCCCCAGGACATACTTGGAACAGTGCCAAGTACCTAGAAAGTTCTCTATGTCCTTTATTATTATTGTTATTCATGTGTGAATGCCCCCTTGCGTGGCCCCATTCTCCAAACTGTCCACAAAATCTTTAATCTTACCCTGTTCACCTCCCAGGGATTGTACTGTCTGCACTTGATTAAACGACTCATATAATATCCCCCCTGTAGACTGTAATCATCCTTTAGGCAAGAACATGACTACTTATTTATCTTCTGTTCCAAACACCCAAGACTGTTCTCCTTTCGCCCTGGATAAATACTGCAGGTTCCTCAGGATGCTGGGAGAGAGTGGGATGGCTTCTGCCCTCTAGGAAATGTGTCTTTGGGATTGTGAACAAGCTGGTGTTTGATCTGGGCCTCGAGTGAGGGATGTTCTTCTGGGCAGGTGGTAAAGGGTGTGAGGTAGGTGAATCTGCCAGGTGTGGGTAGGGAGTTGATTATGTCTGAAAGACGTGGCGGTGTCTGAGTAACTCTGCTGTGTGACTTTAGACTAGTCACAGCCCCTTTCTGAGCCTCAGATGTCTCATCTTTAAATAAATCCTGTCTACCACAAGGAGAAAACAGTGGGAACATTATGGCTATGGAATGAAGCTGGTTTGCATTTCCACCGCAGCTCCAACTCTATCTGGCTCAGTGACCTTGGCTAAGACACTTCACATTTCTGAACCTCAGTTGCCTAATCTTTAAAATGGGAGTCTTGGGGGAATGTGTATGTAACGCAGGGTCTCTCAACCTAAGGGCTACTGACATTTAGAGCCACATAAGTCTTCATTCTGGAGTGCCATCCTGTGCCCGGTAGCCATTTCGTCGGTAAGCTGCACCCACCAGATGCCAGCAACACTCTCCCTGCTCCAGCTGTGAGGACCAAAAATGTCACCAGACAGTGCCAAATGTCCCCTGAGAGACAGAATTGCCCCCAGTTGAGAACCACTGGTAGAAAGTTGCTGACACAGAAAGCTGGCACATAGTAGGTGCTCAACAAATGTTAGTCCCCTTCCCAGCTGTGACTACAGAAACTTAGCGTCAGCTTCAGACATCCATCTCATGCGCGCACACACAGATCCCATGCCTCGTCCAAGAGTTGGTCCACACTGCCAAAAGGATTCCAAACATTTCCTCACTTGTGGATGGAGCCCACCCCTGGCCCATCTCCATCTCTTCTACATTCTGTCCAATTCCTCTGGGATGTTTCCACCCCACTGAAAGACAATACAACTTTTAATAAATTACTTAAGTTCTCTGCACCTCCTTTTCCTCCTCTGTGAACTGTGGACAATAGCTGTACCTACGTCATAAGTTTGTTGTGGGGCACCTGGGTGGCTCAGTTGTTAAGGATCTGCCTTCCACTCAGGTCATGATCCTGGGGAAGCCTACCTCTCCCTCTCCCACTCCCCATGCTTGTGTTTCTCTCTTGCTGTGTTTCTGTCAAATAAATAAATAAAATCTTTAAAAATAATAATAATAAGGTTGTCGCCAAGATTCCTGAGTTAAGATGTGGAAAGGGCTTGGAGCAGATAGTAAGCATTCAACAAGTGAAGTCTTTCATTTGGATTGTTTGCTGAGTCCATTCAGATGCATTTGGCTATAAGGAGAAGAAAAATGGGCTACTGGTGGGTCCAAATGTAAGGACCTCATTTATTTAACAAGAGGCCCAGAGGAAATGGGTTCATGTGGCTGGTCGGAGACTCGCAAAGTCATCAAGGACCCAGGACCTTCGACCCTGCTCTCCTCATTATGGTGACTCCCCTCCCCAGCTTTGGGGCCTCAGAGTCTCCAGATGGATGTTACAATGGCAACATCCCCAGCCAACCCAAGCCCAAGGCAGGCTTTCTCTTGCCCTTTCACAGGTCATATGACCACCCTCACTTAGTCCCTGACCAAGAGAAGGGTTGTCACTGTCCATTTACAGCAGCTCTGCTCCATCTCCTGGGACATGGCTGCCTGCTCAACTTGGGGTTCTCTTGTCAAGAAAGAAGTGTCTGCCGCAAGCACCTACCCTGTGCTGCGCCTTGAGCGAGGCGCTAAGAGTAAAGAAGTGGACATGACCGATGACTTTCAGGCCTGGCAGAGCTGGCATCACTCCAGCAGGGAGGGACAGACAGTGACGAACGAAACATAGAAAGACAACAAGTTTTGTCATTCATTCATCGAGTGTTTATGGAAAGCCTACATGCCCCAGGCTGGGATGGAGCAGTAATAGCATTTAGGGTGCCCGCCCTCTTGGTGTTTCCAGTGCAGAGCAGGGGGAGACAGAAAATAATCAAATTAATAACCAATCAATAGGGGCGCCTGGGTGGCTCAGGCATTAAGCATCTGCCTCTGCTCAGGTCGTGGTCCCAGGATCCTGGGATCAAGCCCCACATGGGGCTCCCTGCTCGGCGGGAAGCCTAGGTCTCCCTCTCCCCCTGCTATTCTCCCTGCTTGTGTTCCCTTTCTCTCTCTCTGTCAAATAAATAAATAAAATCTTTAAAAAAATAATAATAATAAACAAATGAGATCTTTTCAGCTTCTCCAGAGTTGCGTGGTGGCACCTGCGGGCCTCTGCTCTGGTCTCTGCCTACCCCAGGTCTTCTGAGTCAGTTAGGAAGCTCCACACTAGGGTGATCAATGGGGACTCCCTTGGTCCAGGGCCTGGCTGCCTCCCAGCTAATCCTGGCTCAGAGCGACTCACTGAACCAAATATGACTAAGCAACCACAACCCGGGGGAGACGTCTTTCCCTAGCCCTGTTTGGGCCCCGACCTCTCGTACCTTCTTCCCCATCACCTCCACCCACGCACTCCAGGATCTCCAGTGGGGAGCCCTTAGAACCAGTATGTCTCCTGGGTAGGGCCTTAAATAGGCTATAGCTGGGAAACATTCACCAAAAGAACAGAGCGAGAAGGAGAGAAAAAAAAAATCAGTTGAGCGGGGGAGCAATGACAATGATAGAGAAATTCTCGTCTACAGGGACAATTATAGAGTTTCTATTGCCATGTACTTTGCAAATAGTGGGAAATACCATTTCATTTCGGCTCTGTGCATTTCACAGGTGCAGGGAAGTTAGTGCTGTTTGGAAACATCAGACAGTTCCTTATTCCCTGACGAGCCTCTCAGATTCTGCAGGCTCAGGATTTGAAGGCTGCCTTCCCAAGCTCTGCTCAAAAGAAAAAATAATGAAGATAAACCAAAGAGAAACAAGGGGTGGTTTTTGTCCATCCCAAGTTGAACTAACCAATGAGAAATGAGTTAAGGACTGCCCAGGATTGCAATCATTTCCCAAATGCAGATGAGTTTTCAGTAAGTCAGGCCAGCTGCCCAGAAAGTCTTTTCCTCATTCTGAGCACCAAGAGCAGCTTTCTGAGAAGAAGAGAGGCATCTCCACCCTTGGCATTGGCCAGAATAGCTGGACAACTGAACTCAATGTGGTACACACAGGCCAGGATTCATTTCTTCAAACCAAAATATTCCCTTCCTTATAGTCCTATGTGAGCCACCCCTGACTGTCCAAGTTAAAACTTCCCCAAAGGAAGCTTTGCTGTTAGAAGCAGCTATCTCCAGAGGATCCTGGCTCAAGATCTGATTCAAACATAATGGATATCATATTAAGTCAGGGCTCCAGACCTTTGCCAAATCAGATTCCTGCCAGGAAGCACTAGAAGGAGCCTGGAGGAAACAAAGAAGGAAATGCTTAGGACCCTTGGTTTGAATCCCAGCTCCGCCACTGATATACATGCATTCATTTTTCCAGGCTTCGGACATTGTTGTAGCCCTAGGGACCAGCTGCCTGGGTTCAAAT